AGTAGAATCATCTAACTAAAAATCTATTTTATTTTACTCCTGTGTAGAATCGACTAACTAAAAATCTATTTTATTTTACTCCTGTGTAGAATCAACTAACTAAAAATCTATTTTATTTTACTCCTGTGTAGAATCAACTAACTAAAAATCTATTTTATTTTACTCCTGTGTAGAATCGACTAACTAAAAATCTATTTTATTTTACTCCTGTGTAGAATCAACTAACTAAAAATCTATTTTATTTTACTCCTGTGTAGAATCAACTAACTAAAAATCTATTATATTTTACTCCTGTGTAGAATCGACTAACTAAAGAAATGAAGAGTAATTTATTTCAAGATTTAAACGAAGACGAGGCTTTTCAATATTTAGACAAGAATAACAGTGGCAAGGTAAAATATCACTGACTGTTCTATAGGTGTATTCCGAGAAAATTTAGACACTGAATATACCGTTTGTTCGAGTCCCAACGGAATATGATTGGCTGGCGGTGTCATCAGCCAGACGAATGTTAAGAGGGCTGTCGTTGGACCCTAACTGAAGTGACTATTTTAAAGTAATAACTTGTATTATGTTTTTATTTCTAGGTAGATTATCTCGAACTGATGGAATTTATACAGGGTTTGGGAATTTGCCTGCAGAATAAATATATCGCCTTTAATCGAGGAGAGCAGATCAACAGTCTGGGTCTATTCTTTAGATCCTTAGCTTCAGCGCTGTTAGCCAATTCTAAACTAGTCTTCATTCATGTACGTTGTCAATTTCTTTATATTGGGGTCCAATATCCTATCATTTTTAACAGAGAGCTGGGTCCACAAAAATATTATATATCTACGTCCACGTTTCAACGATTGGATAAATTGAAACATGGAGGGTTTAGCAAAGTATCACACGATCTTGTATCTTATATTTTATACCTTATATCTTATTATATCTCATATCTTATTATATCCTGTACCTTATATCTTATTATATCTCATAATTCATATATCATATCTCGTTAAATCTTGTATCTCGTTATATCTACTATCTTGTTATATCTTATATCTCGTTATATCTCATATCTTGTATCGTATCTTGTATCTTTACAGACTCGTGATACAGATAGAACAATAGGGATTAACACCGGTCACGTGACAACAATGGATTTTGATCTAGAACAAGGCGATATTGACTTTTTAATCAAGGTAGGTAATGTTCGGAATTTCCCATCATGACAAAGTACAATCATCTTCACAATGTACAGTCATCTTCACAATGTACAGTTATCATCATAAAGTACAGTTATCTTCACAATGTACAGTTATCTTCACAATGTACAGTTATCATCACAAAGTACAGTTATCTTCACAATGTACAGTCATCTTCACAATGTACAGTTATCTTCACAATGTACAGTCATCTTCACAATGTACAGTCATCTCCACAATGTACAGTCATCTTCACAATGTACAGTTATCTTCACAATGTACAGTCATCTTCACAATGTACAGTCATCTTCACAATGTACAGTTATCTTCACAATGTACAGTTATCTTCACAATGTACAGTTATCTTCACAATGTACAGTTATCTTCACAATGTACAGTCATCTTCACAATGTACAGTCATCTTCACAATGTACAGTCATCTTCACAATGTACAGTTATCTTCACAATGTACAGTCATCTTCACAATGTACAGTTATCTTCACAATGTACAGTCATCTTCACAATGTACAGTCATCTTCACAATGTACAGTCATCTTCACAATGTACAGTTATCTTCACAATGTACAGTTATCTTCACAATGTACAGTTATCTTCACAATGTACAGTTATCTTCACAATGTGCAGTCACCTTCACAATGTGCAGTCATCATCACAATGTACAGTCATCTTCACAATGTACAGTTATCATCACAATTTACAGTTATCTTCACAATGTACAGTTATCATCACAATGTACAGTCATCTTCACAATGTACAGTCATCTTCACAATGTACAGTTATCTTCACAATGTACAGTTATCTTCACAATGTACAGTTATCTTCACAAGGTACAGTTATCTTCACAATGTACAGTCATCTTCACAATGTACAGTCATCTTCACAATGTACAGTCATCTTCACAATGTACAGTTATGTTCACAATGTACAGTTATCTTCACAATGTACAGTTATCTTCACAATGTACAGTTATCATCACAATGTACAGTCATCTTCACAATGTACAGTCATCTTCACAATGTACAGTTATCTTCACAATGTACAGTTATCTTCACAATGTACAGTTATCTTCACAATGTACAGTTATCTTCACAATGTACAGTCATCTTCACAATGTACAGTCATCTTCACAATGTACAGTCATCTTCACAATGTACAGTTATGTTCACAATGTACAGTTATCTTCACAATGTACAGTTATCTTCACAATGTACAGTTATCTTCACAATGTACAGTTATCTTCACAATGTACAGTCATCTTCACAATGTACAGTTATCATCACAATGTACAGTCATCTTCACAATGTGCAGTCATCTTCACAATGTACAGTCATCTTCACAATTTAAAATCATCTTCACAATGTACAGTCATCTTCACAATGTACAGTCATCATCACAATGTACAGTCATCTTCACAATGTACAGTTATCTTCACAATGTAGTCATCTTCACAATGTGCAGTCATCTTCACAATGTACAGTCATCTTCACAATGTAAAATCATCTTCACAATGTACAGTCATCTTCACAATGTACAGTTATCATCACAATGTACAGTCATCTTCACAATGTACAGTTATCTTCACAATGTACAGTCATCTTCACAATGTACAGTTATCATCACAATGTACAGTCATCTTCACAGTGTACAGTCATCTTCACAATGTACAGTTATCTTCACAATGTACAGTTATCATCACAATGTACAGTTATCTTCACAATGTACAGTTATCATCACAATGTACAGTCATCTTCACAATGTACAGTTATCTTCACAATGTACAGTTATCATCACAATGTACAGTCATCTTCACAATGTACAGTTATCATCACAATGTACAGTCATCTTCACAATGTACAATCATCTTCACAATGTACAATCATCTTCACAATGTACAGTCATCTTCACAATGTACAGTCATCTTCACAATGTACAGTTATCTTCACAATGTACAGTTATCTTCACAATTTACAATCATCTTCACAATGTACAATCATCTTCACAATGTACAGTCATCTTCACAATGTACAGTCATCTTCACAATGTACAGTCATCTTCACAATGTCAAGCTATTACCTGCTTATACCTTGACTGCAACAAACACTTTTCTTGCATCACTGAATGCAGCGATTTGATTGGTTGTACGCCAGTGAATACTCACGTAAATATCATTTGTTTTTTTAGAGAGGAGAGAATGCAGCTCGAGCCTACATGAGAGAATATATTGGACGGAGAAATAAAAACAACTGGTGGTTTTTTTGAAATACGCTGGATTATTGATGTTGCATTCAACATAGTTGGTAATCAGTGTCGCTGGATTATTGATGTTGATTCAACATAGTTGGTAATCAGTGTCGCTGGATTATTGATGTTGCATTCAACATAGTTGGTAATCAGTGTCGCTGGATTATTGATGTTCCATTCAACATAGTTGGTAATCAGTGTTGCTGGTGTATTTTTATAATATTAGTACGATATATATGTTTTGTATAGAAAGAAATGATTTGTGTTTAAATAAATTAACATGTCTCTTATAGAATCCTTGATTGACTGAATTACTCCCTTGTCCTTATAAATTCTGGCTATTTCCTACGACAACTACACACTATTTCACTATTATCAATAAGCGTCTTCCTTTTCATCCTCTTCATTAGAATCTGAAAGAAATCAAAATCCACATCAAAATCCAAATATAAACCAAAAAAATAGGCATATATTCTTTATCCTCCTTCCCCACCCACTTAACAAACAGGAGGGGAGGGAGGGCACCTGGTTGGTTGGGTTGGGTAAGGGGGTGGTTATCTAGAAATATCACAGTAGGAGCTATACATATGTTTAGTATATGTAGATATTTTCAATATATCAAAGATGAATTACCTTTTGGAATCTCGCAAAATCGACCTGACCAATCATTAACACATTGACAGTTTAATTTATCTTCTGATGCAGTTCCGCCATTTTTACACTGGATACCCTAAAAATATAAAATACTATACAATTATACGACTAGATATTTATAACTTACACTTACTGACCTTGTTCAAAGTACATACTGACCTTGTTCAAAGTACATACTGACCTAGTTCAAACTACTTACTGACCATGTTCAAACCACATACTGACCTTGTTCAAACTACTTACCGACCTTGTTCAAACTACTTACTGACCTTGTTCAAACTACTTACTGACCTTGTTCAAACTACATACTGACCTTGTTCAAACTACTTACTGACCTTGTTCAAACTACTTACTGACCTTGTTCAAACTACTTACTGACCTGGTTCAAACTACTTACTGACCTGGTTCAAACTACTTACTGATCTGGTTCAAACTACATACTGACCTTGTTCAAACTACTTACTGACCTTGTTCAAACCACTTACTGACCTGGTTCAAACTACTTACTGACCTTGTTCAAACTACTTACTGACCTGGTTCAAACTACTTACTGACCTTGTTCAAACTACTTACTGACCTTGTTCAAACTACTTACTGACCTTGTTCAAACTACATACTGACCTTGTTCAAACTACTTACTGACCTTGTTCAAACTACTTACTGACCTTGTTCAAACTACATACTGACCTTGTTCAAACTACTTACTGACCTTGTTCAAACTACTTACTGACCTTGTTCAAACTATTTACTGACCTTGTTCAAACCACATACTGACCTTTTTCAAACTACTTACTGACCTTGTTCAAACTACTTACTGACCTGGTTCAAACCACTTACTGACCATGTTCAAACTACATACTGACCTTGTTCAAACTACTTACTGACCTTGTTCAAACTATTTACTGATCTTGTTCAAACTACTTACTGACCTGGCTCAAACTACTTACTGACCTTGTTCAAACTACTTACTGACCTGGTTCAAACTACTTACTGACCTGGTTCAAACTACTTACTGACCTTGTTCAAACTACTTACTGACCTTGTTCAAACAGTTTACATGCACTTACCTTGTAAAGAAATTCGTGATTCTTTCCACTGTAATATTCTACGAGATTGTGACACGTGCTCTTTGGTAGTTTGTCGAATTTGTAACACCTTCCATGTGTTCCGTCAAAAAATATCGTCAAACATTCAGCTTCATCTTGACACATTTTAACACAGTGATATTTTGTTTTTGATTTTAGCTCCGGAGTATCTCCCAATTGAAATCTCTTATGGTCACACTCTTTCATCCTCCAGAACCGTTGTCCACAATCAACAGCTACTAATCCTAAATTCATTAAAACAATTCCAAAAAACAGCTTCATTTTTTTATATTTTGGTAGACGAGTAGATACAATGCTACTTTTTGAGTTTTTGACTTCACAGCTGAGAAATAAGAAATTTGGGCTATGATATGATAAAGAATAACTAAACGTGTGTTATAATTCAAGGTAAATAGAATGATTCAATCAGATGTTATAAATTAATACTCTCTACTGAACTAGAATATCTTGACACCTGAGTTTTGTTTTAATTAAAGTTCATGGATGATGGAATTGATTTGGTATTGTGGTTTCAAGGTATTGTTTCTTGTAAAATTCTTTCTTTTATTCCCATAGAAAGAATTGTGGGAAACATTTTTTGAATTGATATTGTTTGATATTGTTTGATATTGTTTGATATTGCTTGATATTGTTTGATATTGTTTGATATTGTTCGATATTGCTTGATATTGATTGATATTATTTGATATTGTTTGATATTGTTTGATATTGCTTGATATTGTTTGATATTGTTTGATATTGTTTGATATTGCTTGATATTGTTTGATATTGTTTGATATTGTTTGATATTGCTTGATATTGTTTGATATTGTTTGCCTTGCAGAGTTTTGATTGGCTGGTATCAAATTTTCAAGTGAAAGATATTGAAGGTATTGTTAGGTGACGTGAAACTCGATTGTTAATTAAAACGTTGAAGTATTGTTTATTCCAGTCTCTCTTTATGAATAATTTGTCGCTGTTTGAAATAACTTATTGTTAAATGTCGACTATATTCAGTACATTTTTTTTTATTTTTTAATTTTCATCCAATTAACTTGCTGTGTCTAGGGAGAGACACGGGGTAGAATTACCTCAATCACAGTCAAGTTTTATATCATGTTTGTACTTGAAAAAAATTGAAATGAAATAAATGGAGTTTTAAGTCCTACTTAAGTGTGAAATGAGGGAAATTTTGCCTCGGTTTATTATCTCATCTATACGACCAGACGCTTTTTCCATTTCAGCCCCTCTTACCTGCATCACTGACCGGGGGAAACCCGGTTGAAAAATCTGAAGGTATTATCTTGACCCATGCTGGGATTGAATCCTGGACCTTCAGGTTAGAAAACAAGCGTCAAGTAATAGAGCAAGTGTCTAACTCACTGAGCCACCGCGGCTCCCGTTTTAAAATGATACATTAAATCTTAAAGTGGAAATTGCAATATTCTGAGTATGTTTTACAGTTTAAAGGTTTCTGATTGTTCTCTATAGTTAATATATGCGATATAAGATTCGATGTTTTCAGGTTTACCACCGAGGGACATTTTGTGACAAAACTTTGCTCATTTGTATCATAAAGGAAAAGGAATTGATTTGAGAAAAAACTGTAAATATGGAATGTGATTTATTGATTTTGAGATATAGTTTAATGTTTACACGCCTGGGAATTATTTATCTTCAGTTTTAATCAATTCAAAATTTTACTGTCATTATAACGCTATCTGATATTTCAATCTCGCTTGATTCTAGATTTCATCTTGTGATTATCTTTCACCATGCGTAAGATAAACCAATTTCAACCAAATGTCGAGTCTTATATCGTTCCAAGGAAAAATTCATATCGTTGCTATTGTCCCTAGTGTATTTCATACAATCGAAACTTGTTGTCTTATTTTATACACGAAAACCTTCTCTTATTCATGATCTTTTGTCGGTAATGGAGCTTCAATTCATTTTTTCGCACATTGATTAAATTCGTTAAAAACTTTAAAACTAATGTCTCGCTAGATATCAATCTCTACTCGTTTGATATTTATCAGATCTTACTCTCTCGAGATATATCTCAACTATATAATACAGACAGTTTCGATTGTAATTCCCTTGATGTTAAACATGTCGGATGTTTTGGAAGTGATTCTATGGAATGATTAAATGGTTTTCAAAGACTAATGATAAATGATGTCTTGTGTAACTTTCTACCGCCATGATTCGCTGCTATATTATTTCCTCTAACAGTTTTTACAGATTATATAAATTGAAACAACCGATGCATTTGAAAGACGAAAACGATTAATGTGGAGTTGGAATTGTTGTTTTTTATTTTTCAATACACTCGGTATCAATACTAGTATTAATCTGAATTTGTCGTCGTAGATTATTAACAGTAGTTGTTTGATCCTATACTTCTACAAAACTTTCAGCAATAACTTAAAATTAGAATTTTGGTGGAGGTCGGAGGGTGGTTGAGGGGAGGGGAGGTGTTGCTATTGGCATATATAGTCAGAGTTTGGGATGTTCATTATGAAATACTTACTCACTTATAATTGATATACTTCCTCCGTCCGTTAGCTGCTTCCAATGTTCCGCCAATATGTTGTTTGGATTTTGGGTTTTGTTTTAGATTTCTGATCTTTATGACGATGTAAAATCTGGAGTAATTGGTGTTGATTCTGTCGTTTTCTCTGGAAGTTTTTGGCATCAAAGACAATAAATAAATTGAAGAATAAAACGGAAAGAAAATTACTGAGCTAATATTTAACTTTTACATCATCGTTGAGCCAGGAACTTTTATATTCATTGATAGGAGGGGAGGGGCCAGGAACTTTTATATTCATTGATAGGAGGGGAGGGGCCAGGAACTTTTATATTCATTGATAGGAGGGGAGGGGCCAGGAACTTTTATATTCATTGATAGGAGGGGAGGGGCCAGGAACTTTTATATTCATTGATAGGAGGGGAGGGGCCAGGAACTTTTATATTCATTGATAGGAGGGGAGGGAACAGGAACTTTTTTATTCATTGATAGGAGGGGAGGGGCGAGGAACTTTTATATTCATTGATAGAAGGGGAGGGGCCAGGAACTTTTATATTCATTGATAGGAGGAGAGGGGCCAGGAACTTTTATATTCATTGATAGGAGGGGAGGGGCCAGGAACTTTTATATTCATTGATAGGAGGGGAGGGGCCAGGAACTTTTATATTCATTGATAGGAGGGGAGGGAACAGGAACTTTTTTATTCATTGATAGGAGGGGAGGGGCGAGGAACTTTTATATTCATTGATAGGAGGGGAGGGGCCAGGAA